TGGTGGCTCTAGACATCAGTAGACAGTTGTTCTATTTAAATGTGATTAGTATGAAATTCTTCATGCACGAGGAATTGCGGTTGACCAAAAACACCGTCTTATTTATATTAATCCAAATAAAAAATTGAGAACTTATGAGCCTTTCATCTTAGCAAGTCAAGCTAAACAAGTGTATTACACTCCATATCCATCACAAAATTCTGTTAGAAAGGGATGGGTTGCTGCATTGAAATGTAGGGCATGAAGTGTTATTAAGATGCCAGATCAACAAGAGGAACAACATGATGATCCAGAACCTATTTTTCAAGATGATGACCCTCCAACTGCCCAACAAACCATGTCAGATCCTATATTATATGAACCTATTCAGCATACTGATGGGACTATATCTGCCATTAATGTTGAAATTGAGGATGTGGATTATGACAGAGAAATTGAGGAAAACGATAGGGAGGAGGAAAAAGAATTTGAAGATTATTATACATTTGAGGAAGAAAATATTGAATATATTTTTGAGAGTGATAGTAGTGATTAATTAATTAGTGACCCAATAGATTTTGTTATTATTTATTAGTATATGTATGTAGTATTTTATAACACATCAAGTGATATATAAGTAGCTTGACTTAAAAAGAAACTTTAATGTGATGTTAAATTATTAATATATATTTTGTCTTTAAATTTCATCTTTCATTAAATTTTTTTTTTAAGTTTAAATATAATGCATTTTTTCCAATCATATATTAATGTAGTATTATTATACATTTTTTTCTTTGTAGTGAATTGCATACCTAGAGCTTGTAGGGGTGACAAGTCCGTTGATGTTGCTTCCCAAAGGCCGGTGAGAAAAAATCAATCACAAGGAATTGGGTCTTCAAGTACCATTGTCCGGGAGACCCAGTGGGAGACCTAAGGGGAAACATGTTGTAATGGCAGTGACACAGACTCTAGTGCACCCTCACCTCCTTAACCCAAAAAAGGGGCGAGGTATTGCCAAAACCCAAAAAATGCTAGAGGATCCTTCCCATAAGCTAAGCATTGGGATCTAGGATGGGAAGATGTTACCCAAACAGGTTCGAAAGGATATTTCAATAATCTTTAAGTCTAATATGCATGATGCATATACAGGGTGGGGTTCAATTTTTCATGAGCACAAGGAAGTGTACTGGCAAGCTTTTTAGGTTGGTAATTTATAATGACATGGTTTTTATTTATATATGTGCATTTTCTTTATAAATCAATTAATATATGAATATATTAAACTTATATATTTATTTTTTTTCAGAATATGTACGAGTGGTACCCAATTGAGCAAGGTGCTGTACATTCAGCATTTTTAAATGTTTGTGAGAATCGATATAACCAAATGATGACTGATATCCAAGTGTCATGTAGAAAGAAAAATTTTACAGAAAAAAAAGCCATACATGTCTGACAAGATTTGAGAGAAGTTTAAGTATATATAGATTGAAGACCAAAAGTTCAATGCTAGCAAAGAGCAAGCAAAGTTAAATAGAGCAAAATGCCTAGGGTAACTCACACAGGTGGATCTATGGACTACAATGACTTTGTGCAAAATTTGGTAAAAATGTTTCCTTTATCATTTAGGTTTCATATCATAAGTTATATAATAATTAATTAATCTTAATGTTAATTGTAATGTTTGTGTCAATTAACATAGTAATTGAATATGTGATATTGCAGAAAAAAAAAATATCCTGAGCATAAGGATCCATCATTCGTTGATGTGATTCATGCAAAAAAAATTCATTATCCAAAAGAAAAAGATCAAATGCCAATATATTGATGAGCAGGCTTGGAAGTACACTGTGAGTTTTATTTCTTTATCTGTATTATTTCTTGAAGGGTTAATTTAATTGATATTTTATTTCATTCTCACTCATATTAAAGAATTATTTTAATTAAGTGAAATCAAATTACATTTTAATTTTATTAAATATTATCGTTAGAAATATATATATATATATATATGAGTGAATGTATTTTCATACTTTGTTTACAAGGGAAACTACAATTTTTAGGAGAAATTTTGTTGGATGTTTTTATAAATTTATAATGAATTTGTGAAAATTGACATGTTCCTGTTATTATGATATTTATAATTATATTGAATCTTTAATCAATATTAAATAAGGGAATTAATAAAAATTGTATAGATATATTAAATAAAAAAGAAAAATTAAAGGTATCGAGTTAGTGGGTACTTCATGTTCAGAAAGTAATTCAAATTGTTTGTTTTGGTGGGGCTAATCTTGAATTAGATTTGAAAATAGATGTAACTGAAAAAAATAATAGACCTCTTCGACTAGCTAGGTCCGATCTCTTGATGGTAGTGATTTCCTCATAATATTGTCATTGCTTGTTATTATTTTTTTTTTATGAATTGTTTTATGACCAGACATTTATGGTTTTGTCATATGAGCTTATAAAGTCCATTTTATTGAGATCAATAAATTCCAAGAGAATCTCATTTATTCATGTAATCTTATTAAATATCATAGTTAAATAAATATATATATATATGATTGAACGTATTTTCATACTTTGTTTACAAGGGAAAATTATAGTTTTTAGGGAAAATTCTGTCGGATTTTTTTATAAATTTATAATGAATTGTGAGAATTGACATGTTCCTTTTATTATGATATTTATAATTATATTGAATCTTATCAATATTAAATAGAGGAATTAATAAAAATTGTATAGATATATTAAATAAAAATGAAAAATTAAAGGTATCAAGCTAGCGGGTACTTCATGTTCAGAAAGTGATTCAAATTGTTTGTTTTGGTGGGGCTAATCTTGAATTAGATTTGAAAACACATGTAATTGAAAAAAAAAAA